CACACACACACACACACACACACACACACACACACACACACACACACCCCCTGGCTTTTTACAAAACAAATCTGTGAGTTTCTCTTCACACACCCAAAATGGTGTGCCAAACTCAACAGAAGCCCTGACACAGACGTACACCATCTGAAAGCAAATCCACAATCTCCACATATATCCCAATAAATAACACATCCACTGGGATTATGACAAGACACACAATTAATGACAAACAAACACATTCAACCACAAAGAAAAGAGAGCGACAGAAGGCAAAGGATAAGGAAAGAATCAAATAGTGGTACAGAGAAAAAAACATCAGAGAAGAAGAAGAAGAAGAAGAGGCGTTTGTATCTCTGGCAGATTAAGCAAGAGGAGAGAGAAGTGGGAGACATGTGATGACCCTTACCTTGACATCTGCCTTTTTGTTGAGCAAGGACTTAGCTGCTGCAATCACAAACACAGGGGAAAACAACCAGTCAGAGGCGGAGATGAGCAGAAACAGAGAAGTAACAGCAACAACTATACGTTTCCTGTGATTCACAATATCTGCTACAGCTTTACACTACATTGAAGAGATTACATTTATTTGACTTTGTGAAATAATGTTCTTCATTGACCTCTGCAGTAAGTCTTTTGGCAAAGCAATGGCTCAGATAAAGTAGCCTTAGGCTAAAAGAGCAAGGGCACCTCAGCACCTTGATGATGAAGTGCCTAAACTTTGTTTTGCAATTGCAGCACTGTGACTTCAGGAAGTAAGAGCCAGGTTGTAAGACCATGATGTGCTGTGTTATCCACGTTTATTTTTCACTTCTGATGCTTTGCAGCCAACATACCTTCTAAAAACAACCCCCTGCCACAAATCAATACGGCATCAAGCTCATTATGCAGTCGCACGATCTTTGAAGATATTTAAAATCCCCACCCCTTCTACATAGGTGCATTAGAGTGGGCATTTACAGATCTAGCGAGGTACATCCTAAAGCTGTTTGATGCTAAAGGCCGAAGCTAGTTGGTCAGGTGGACAAGGAATTATTCCAGTGTTGCATCTCAACCTCTCAACAAAGACGTCCGTTGTTGTTGCCAGTGAAATAAAAATGTACTCCAACTCATTGTTCTCGTGCCAACATCCCCTCATGGTTGTGAGGAAGCCGAAAACAAAGATGGCTGCCCTGCCTGCGAATAAGCCCAGCCTTAAAGAACTCCGTGGGGGCCTTAAGGAGGATTAGACTTCCGTCTGCTCTCTAATGAAGGGTAATGAGGGAGGAGGGTAGGAGAGGAAGAATGATACTGCAGACACTGGTCCTCTGATGAGGGTAATACCCATAATCCCTTACAACAGTGAAAACGTCTGCAGGGCATCCATCACGACTGCACTGCTTCACGCAAAGCACGGAGAGCAAGGTGGTCCGATTGTATCAGATAGATGCACGTTCACCCAAAGGGGCCCAGGAAGAAGAGCCAGGCTCTCTGTCATTTTGAGTCAGCTGGCGGATGTGGACAGAGAATTAACATCAACAAGACCTCAGATCGGAAGCTTGGACGAGCAAATGTGCGTATTTCGACTGTTTAAAGAGTAGATACCAAAACTGCACTGGGAGACCTGTTGGTGCTGTCGAGCACCAACCAAACACACACACTACAAAAAGACCTCCGGCATACAGGAAGTGATGAGTTTTACATTTCCCATTTTGGATGATTATCTGTTTGGCTATTATAAGTCTAAAAGTTACAAACTATTTCTCTGTGGCTGTGTCTCTGTGATAGTAAATTGACCGCTGCCGGGATAATAGTTCAACAATTTCCTCTATCAGTAAAAGAAAAGAAACTTTGTCTATGAGCTAAACATATCCACAGGTCCTGATTAACTTGGAATATATTTTATTTTCAAGCAATAATTAGAGTGAATTGCACATTTTTTCTGATAAAACTTTAAATTATCTTTGTGAAATGTGACAAAAAGAACCATAGGCTAGATTAGCGCATTATATGGGAAGCTTTAAGTGGTAGACTTGAGAGTCTCCATCAGCATACACCAGATGTCACTGTTTTAGAGCATTAGTGAAAACACTGCATTACACCAAGAGCCAAAAAACAGGTTCGAATATGAGATCATTTGATGTCTTCCTATCTGAGAGGGTTTCTACATCAAGAATGAACAGCAATATGTTCTATAATAGTATGGCTATACATGATAAACTGAGTACACCAGCAACATCATTTGGGAGATGCTGGTGCCTATAACCTGTCACAAGTCCTAGACTCCTCCCCTCTCACTTACCTCCCTAGACGTAAGCCTTGCTGGGACTTTTTAAAGGGGCTGAGTGCAATTTCAAGTATAATCAGATGCAATCACATCAACAGCCTGCCAAGTTACATAAAACACTATTTCTGGTGGTCTGGGATTTTTTTTTCCTTTTCTCTCTCCCGCGTCCCTCTCTGAACATGAGACACAGCTCCTCTTCGAATTTCTCACTTTCGTTTCCAACCATGTTCCGAGCCAGCTACATTGAATTTTCAACAGAAGCTGAGTTCCATGAAAGCGTCCATTGGGCGGTGATTTCTTAGGAGGAACAGAGGTCCAATTCCAAGGAAGCCAATCAAAAGTCAAGTGAATTCCTGTCCCTTTCCTTTTAAATGATAATAAAAAAAAAAAAATAAATAAAAAAAATCACATTTTCCAAAGTGGACCTTTAAAGCTGTCACTTGTGACAGTGATCAACAACCAGCCACCTTATGTCTAAGATTCCCTCTTTAACTTTTCTGATCTAGTATTTCATGTCTGAAGTAAGGTTTGCACATTCAGCAGTCAAGGAAGGAGCAATAAGAAGTGATAAAGAAGCACTTCATGATCCGGAGGGATGCGAGAGTGGCATGAATGTGCATGGTTTATTGTTGTGTTGTTGTTCCTTCTTCCAAAAGGCTGCTTGTAACTGTGGAGAAGAAATGGGGTCAGAAGAGAGTCAAGTTCATTCTCGCGTACTCTCTGATGGCTCGGCAGATTAGGAGAGGATGTGAAAGGAGAGCAGAGAGGAAGAGTAAGGAGAAGATGAACGAACGGGATCACTGTGCTCCTTCCAAACACCACAGAGGCAAACTGGATCTTTAAAAAAAACAAAAACCTGCCATGTTGCTGAAAAAATGGCTTGGATTCCAGTGACGAAGAAAATCTCTGAGGGAAACCTGAAAAAATCAAAAAGATAGCGTAATTTAAACCGAAGGTGGAGAAGCAAGGGGCGCTCCTTACCTTGCCACAAATTACACATGAAGCAAAGAAGAGAGAGAAGGAGGAGATTAAAACAAAATCACCGCTACAAATCCCCACAAGATGCAGAACTGAGGGAGAGAAGCAAGGATGGGCTTGGATTCACATGAGTGACGTCTGGAAATACAATAAGCATTTGGAGTGCAAGAGTTACTTTTTCGACACATACACTGTTGCATGTTTAGGGCCATGACACATTTTAAAAGATGCATTTACCCTCCTCCTGCACAAGAATAGGGTGAGGTCTAATAGAAAGCGGTTGTACTTGTGTGTATGAATATGCAAGGTAGAGCGAGGCCTCCAGTAAACCAGTGAGGCAGAGTGAGGCTGATAGGGGGAGGCAGCCCACTATAAATATTTGATTGGAGCCTAGTGGCGGCTCTGGGACACAGAGAGGACTGTGGAGTCTCAGCGGGCCACAGAAACAAGGACACTGCCACTACTTCTGTCTCCTCAGCTCGATCCTTGACTGGCATGTGACGCTGTTTTTCGTTAATGCCTGCGGTTCATTTCTGCAAACCCAGAAAAAATTTGGGCTGGTTCACGTATATATCACAATGTCGTCCGAATCTACGGGTCTCGCACTTCACGGGTCAAATATTTGTGTTGCTGAAAGACACTGAAAAAAGACAAGACAAAAATGGCGCTGACATCATCCATAGGTCTCTGAAGGAATGTTTTTAAGCTCGTTATTGGGTCTATCAGCACTAAAATCCGACAAATAAACAGTATTTCTTTTTCAGAACTGCCACAATATACTGTAAAACCACAGACTTACTCAGACTAGCTCAGCTGACTGCTCAGGATGCAGATATTTTTCTGAAGAGGTGGCAAATCAAACCGCTTAAGGCGAGTAAATATTAGATTTACATTTGTCAGGGGGACAGAAATAAGGCCCGTGCTATATTACCGTGAGCAGCGTGTGATGGCAGCCTCCCTGAACTGTTGCGTCTCTCACGCATGTGGTGTCCTCAGACAGCGTTGCTGCTGTCAGCCCTTCTTTCTCTATGAGTTTGCCTTTCATAACGGCCAGAATGTTTAATTTCATTATAAATGTAATATGTATTTAGTTTAGACAGAAAAAGAAAGTTTTAGAAGCGTATCCTCATTCGTAAATAACAATCCATAATTAAAAGCCGATACTTGCTTAATTTATGGAGTCGTGCACGTCAATGCACTGCCCTGCAAATATTTAAAAATAAAAGCCTTGTGTTAACAAATGAAGGGATTCTGTCCACAAAAAGACGCTAGAGGGGATTTATTTTATAATGGAAACCAAATTTGATGAGCTAAATTACTTTTGTTCATATCCGAGACATGTTCTAAGGCTAACGACATCGAAACTGTAGTAATGTTACTGGTATGTCAATATGCTGCCAAAATTGAAAGAACATACATAAAAATATGAATTCGGAACTACATATACAGTGTGTGGACTATATGAGAGCTTCAGCTCAGCTCAGTCAGTGGGCTACTCTGGGATTTATAGTCGGATAGCCCCAATGCAAAAAGCCCAGCCGCGAATCTTCCACAGTGTTCACCATGCACCACAGTCCCTCCCCCCGTGTTGCAGCACATGCACCAGTCCAGTGCCCCATGCAGCATTCACCGGCAGCTCTTTTCCGTCCTTAAAGGGTGAACTTTCCAGTGTCATTGTCAGACAGAGAAAAGAAGAGAGAGTAGAAAGAAGAGTGAGAGAGTAAAGAAGAGTGAGGGGGAAAGAAGAGTGAAGGGGAAAAGTGAGATGTGAAAGTATGATGCTGGTGGAGTTATAGAAAAGTGAGTTGAGAGGCATCAGTGACCACCGGAGAGTTAGAAATGACAGATCATAGGAAAGCGAATGCGGTGAAATGGAGTGCTGATGTGAGAGGAAGAGAAAAAGTGAGAAGGATAAAAGAGAAACAGAGGGACAGGGGAGCGGTTTGGTTTGGTCGAGGCCATGCTTTGATGCTGCGTCGAGAGATGAAGATGATGATGACTAATATGGGTCAGTGGCGATGACAGAGCAGTGATGGGAACTGCACCCATCCTATCAGATCTCAGACAGGAGGTGACAGATGTGCTGATGTGGAAAATGACAGCATTAGCTGTGCTCCCATTCAAGTCCTTTACGAATTATGAATGATTATGAATGATGTTTTCCTTAATAAATATGTTTTGGAATAAATAGCAACAGAGGCACATTTGTCAAATAAGCTGTGAAGTAGGTTTGAAATTTTGGCTTTATCCACGATGAATTCCTACTGTCACTCTCTGCATCTATTGAGATTGGCCCATTAATGGTGTTTAGCAAATGCCTTACTTAGATAAGAACATATAATATGGCATATAACAGCTAAACAACACATTTACTAACAGTTGACATTGATTCCTCTTTTCTTATAAATGTATTTAAGATTGAAAAACACTTAATTTAATTATTGTCTTAACTCTGACTGTGCATAAACCCTGCTAGATAGTAAGATGGAAACATAGCTAATATGCAGCAGGTGATTGAGTAAATGGGAGATGTAGTGAGTGACGTGGTCAGCCATCATGCTCTGAGCTCCCATGCTGAGGAAGGAAAGAGGGAGGAGGCAGAGAAGAACAAAAGAGGGGAAATACAAGAAGGGGAAAAGACAGGAGCAGAGCAGGGGGAGAGGAGTGGCATGCCCATGGGTGAGCCACTACGCTACCTTGTTCCATCAGCCCTGCGGTGGTGCTGGCGGCTGCAGCCACCGCTGCTGCTGCCGCAGTGACAGAGGCTGGAGCAGTGGTCTGTCTGCTGCCCACTGTTAAGAGTCCAACAGCCAGTCACGCATGGAGAAAAAGAGTTAAAGGTAAATGGTAAACAAGAAAGGGGTGAATGAGGAGGTATAACAATTGAGAAGTGGACACAGCAGGTAGGTGGGCATGATGATGTGAAAAGAAAGAAAAGGTGACGGCGGAGACAAACAGGCCTCATCAGTTGAGAAGAAGAGGGAATAATTCATACACACAAACCACTGACAGTATTTGGCAGTGACACAAAATAATCTGCTGCTCTGCCAAAAGGATCATCAGAGAACAATGTCAGGGAGAGACGAAAAAAACAACTCAACTTTCATATGAGAATCTTTGATGCTTTCATTTCGTCCAAATGTATCCCCGATAACAGCGTTGGTGTGAGGATGATGATGATGATGCAGAGCGACTGTCAGCAACATTTAAAATGTATAACAGGCTGTTTTATTTATAATTGGAGGTAAGTTATATTGTAATATAAATAACACATTGGTGGTTTCACTGAGGACATAAACTGTAGGGAAGGGATATACAATTCTACAATTTAAAACCCTTAATCTGAACCTGAACTTCATCCTGTGGTACAAAATACTACAAGACATGTGGAGGGAAATGCACCTCCTCTTTGTCAGCGCACTGATGTGTAAAGTGCATGATTCATAATATATGATGACAATATAGTAAGCCGTTGTGTAAAGCACTGATGTAGATTTATGTGTTGATGTAAATCAAGGGCGGATTATGAGACAATGGGCCCAGACATGCAAAAGGCCTCAGGCCTCATCACCTCTCCGACATAGGAATAAGATACACAGACTTTATAGTTTAGCTTCTTTTTGTTGTTGTGTGTCCCTTTGTAGTTGTTATGTGTCTGTACATGAAGAAATGTTCAGGTCTTTTGTGTCTCTTTGTTATTGTTTTGGTCTTTTTGTAGTAGTTCTGCATCTCATTGTAGTTGTTTTGTGTCTCTTTTGGGTCATTGTGATTAACTTTGTGGTCTCTTTGTGTCTCACTGTTTTGCATTCTTTTGTAGTGTTTTTGTCTCTTTGCAGTCATTTTTTGTTTCTTTGTGGTGAGTTAGAGTCTCATCGAGTGACACTTTGTACTTGAATGCCAGAAGGGCCCCTGTCACTTTGGGGCCCTGGGCCTGTGCCCAGTAGGCCCGTTCAGTAATCCATCCATGGATGTAATGTGCTTTCTGTTACTGAAGGTCTGCTTCTTTTTTTTTTTTACTTTTCGTTGTTTCTCATTCACCTAATGGCCTCACACTCAGAATGGAGAGCTGCTTCCAAAAGAAGTGGAAAGAGAGGGAGAAGGAAACAGGAGTTGAAGAAGGTGACACAGCAAAGCTGTGAGTGAGTGGGTGTTCGAACCATTTCCCATTTCAAAGCTTACAGTGTCAAGAGTAGCCGCTGTGAGTCATGTTTACTGAAGCAGCATGCTTGCGCACATACACACCAACATCATCACTCGCATCTATATTTGTAAAATACACACATATTGTACATGAACAAAGGAGCCTCAGAGGGTGGGATTTCATTAAAACAAAATGTGTTAAATTTTAACAATTATCAAGGAACTGCTCTGAATTCTTCCCGTCAAACCATTACCATGATTTACCCCGGAAAATACATCAAAGACAAAAGTCATTCATTCATATGAAGCTTACAAATTAGCTTCATCCAAGCCCGGCTGAACGTTCCTCCACACAAACCCTGACATCTTGTTTTAAACTGAATTGTTTTGGGGGTTTTTTCCAATTTAATTTCACTGACCGCAACAGTGCTGAAAATGCCTCATTATGTGAAGTTTTTTTTGTTGAGAAGTACAGAAATCTTTGGATCTCACTGTCTATGTATTAAATTAGGAAAACATAAGAAAGTAATTTGTGAAAATATCTCTGAGGCAGGACAGAACATTCGATATTGTCTATCTTGGATTATAGCAGAGGTTTATAATACATGTAAAGCTTCAAGGAAGTCTATCTATTACAGATATATACATAAATACAAGGACACAGACACAAACACAGCTTGCTGAGCAATTTCAGTGTTTCCCACTGTTGTACTGTGGCAGTTTAGCGTGGTGCAAAAGACACATCCCACCGTCGCTTAATTATTTTCAAAACACTTCCACTTCAGGTTCACGAGCTGAACTTTTACACAGTGAGGACATTTAGAGCAGTGGTGGGTATGAAAGTGTGTTCAGTATATTCTTTAGCTCAAACACGATGAGAGCATTGGAGAAACAAGGGAATGGTGTTAGAAGTAAGCTAAATAACGCAAATCTAGAACTCTTCTTTGCCATTTAGCTATCGTGAATCTTACAGCTTTTGAGTCACAAATATAAACTATCATCTCACTGAACTGATTATACTTTTATTTGGAATTTTTTTCCACATAAATTCATTTAACAGCTATTTTGTTAAAGTCCCAGAGAAACGGAAGTTAGAGCATCTTTACTGTGATGTAATTCACAGTGAAACAGAATATTTCAGCAGCGTGCAGTTACAAGAGGGATTCAAATCATAGCCTTCGCATTTGATTGGACCGATAAAAAGTGTGCAGGATTAGGTACTGAGTATTTTTACATACATTTGGCAAATAACAAGAGATAATATTAAAATCAACTCAGGGACACAGGCTTAAAACTGAGAACATGTTTTCTTTTTGGGATTTTAAGTACAATGGTCGTATTACCTTAGAAAAACAAATACGTGAATAAAGCAAAAGGGAAACACTGAAGTTGCACCAAAATGAAATGACAATGTGACAGACTTTACATAAATATATATCTCTTTGGTCAAGGGAGACAAATGCTGTTTGTCACTGAGTTACTGTATATTTACTGTTTTCAGTGTTTTAAAGGAACAAGCCACCATTTGTCAGAGTAGGACATCTAAAGGAAACAACTGATATTTAAATAGGATAAGTCAGGTTTTGGGTGAAGTATTCCTCCAAAATGGTGGCATGTTCTTTAGAACCAAACTGACTTGCTTATATTCAACACATATTTTAATCCCCCTCGGTATTTAAGTACTCAAATATAGCAATAAGACTGGCATGCAGACAATACAATCCCTACATTGAGTGATGTTTGGTTCACTGATAGGATGGTAGATTTACAGTCATGAGGGATACAACAAGTATCTACAGGCAACACTTACCAGAGAAATTTCGAGAAACCAGCATGGTAGTAAGAATGGCCCCCTGAAAGGAAAAACAAAAAAGAAGTTCAATTTAAACCACTTAAACTAGTAATGTAAAAATGTTTCCCTTTTTATACAAATATACAACATGTTGCCAACTTCTGACTGATTCAATCAATATCCAGATGATTAAAGCTTGCTTTTCTAAACCCGAAACAAAGACGGATCTTTCCTTGGAAAAATTCGGACTCACAGCAGGTGAAACTTAAACTCCATTAAGATAAAATCCAAAGAAAAAAGTGCACTGAAAAAGTATGATCGACACAATGAGAGAGAGAGAGAGAGAGAGAGAGAGAGAGAGAGAGAGCATTTTTTTTCTCTGGAGAGATCATTTATAACTTTTTAAATGGCTATTAAAATGGTACTGAATTGGAAATCGAGCAGGGAATTTAAGAGCTGTGGAGGTTGATAATATACTTCATACCTGAACAGAGATGCCACTCTATCAAAACCAAAAAACAAAGGCGGTGCATAAACTAGCACAAGTGGGTGTCTTTTTTCCTGCTCAATGGTAGATATCGTTTCTTCGAATACATTTCCTTGTATTTGATATCTGAGGCACAGCTCATTTTCTGTCCCCACGTTCTGTCCGTTTTATGTTTTCATATAATTCCTAAGTCAAAATAAGTTTGGGAATATATACTGCATGAGGCACGTACAAGGCCTCTAGCTGATTTTGTCTTCTACATGAATGTCATTTTTTGTGTCTTTCGATATTCAAAAGATGATTTTTTATTTTTGGATTTGCCTATCAAATAATGTGGAATTCATGTGCACATAACAACATTGGCTGGTAACTTTTCTTTTATCTAAATAAAGTGGGTTAACTGATTCCCTGCCTGTGAATGTTGCTTACTGTATGCTTTGATGAATTAAGAATGAATTGTTTCTCTTGTTTACTAGTGAATGTCTAACCTTGCCATTGTCCATTTCTTTCTAAGTGTGAAAAGCCATTGGTTCATGCTGATGGCATGTTGGTTGAACGGTCCAACATTGGCCTGCAGCCACCTGCTTTTCTGCTTCCAGTTCACCCATGTGCTGGTATTTGAGCCATGCCAAGACTGGCCAAAAGCAGCAGGGTTAACGGTGGCACGCAACAACGGCTAAGCTGTTGTATCCACACACAACGTCAGCAATAAATCAGTGAAGAAGGGAAACTATGCATGGAGGACAGGTCTGGATCTAAAGTCTTACTGGCTTTTCAAATGGCCGCAGCGCCAGAGTCGGGAGAGAAAGCGCCATCTACATGTAACAATTTTTTTTACATTTTATACTTTAGGCCAGGAATTGATAGATCACAAACAGAATTATTGAAGAATAAAGTTGAGGAAGAGATTATTTTATCCTGTACAGGCGCTTATTAGAGGGAGAGGGAGATGTGGGAGAGGGTGAGCATCCGAACACACCTTGAGTTTCCTCCTGGCGTTGAATTTCTTCAGGCACTCCACGGTCTCCTGTCTGTGCATCATAGACGCCACTGTGGACCGTTGCTGGAAGAAGGAAGGAGACAATGAGGAGGTGATGAGGAGGACAAACAAAGGTTTAGGAAGAGGAGGAAGAAAAAGACAAGAAGATGTCAGTTAATAAAGGTGTTTGTGTCTGCGGTGATCCAACCACTTGTTTGTCAGAGTTAGATGCGTTTTCTGTGTGTGCAGAAGCTGTGTGAAAAATAGCTGCTGTCTGCTTGTATATCTCAAGCAGGCGACACTTACGCAGACCCATGGGTGCTTGAGGGCCTCCTGGGCAGTGATCCTCTTGGCTGGGTTGATGGTAAGCATCTGGTTGATCAGGTTTTTGGCCTCTGGGGTGACTGTGTCCCACTCTGGGGAAGGAAACTAAAGGGGACAAACAGAACCACGTCTTAACATCCAGCTATTAGTTGATTAATTACTGATTGATTCTTCGATTTAAAAGAATACATTTAATTCATAATAATTTCTAAGATGCAAGTTCAAATCTTCATTTGCCCTCAAAATTCTAATGATTAATCTACACTGTAACATTTTCAATCATATATTAAATGTGTTAAACTCTACAAAGTACCTAATGACAAATACAAAAATCTAAAGAATACATATTTTCATGCCTACATGTATTTTGAAAACAGTCAGTAAAACTTTATTTCACACTGTGACGGTTAAAGAGTGGAATTAATCTGCAGTTCACATGCATGCCGAACCGTGAGGGGGGTATCCGTACGGATCACAGATCAACAATGGTCCTTTAAAAATAAAAAAGTGAACTGATTTATTGGCTGGATAGTTTTACAGTAGTCATATGCAGAGAGGGAGAGACTATCAAACAACATAGGTAGCAGGTCAGATATGAACCCAGGCTGTCGCCAGTTCGTGTAACTTCAACATGATCGCCACTGAGAACCCCCTGTGGGAGTGTTTCTCAACAATATCAGAAGGCCAGGCCGAGCACAGTCCCAAGCATTTTGTTAAGGAAATCTAAGCCCATGCGGTCATGTTGTGTTTAGGCATAAATGTCGAGGTCTGTGTCCTATGAGCCCAGAATCCCTGCCAGAGAATCAGTCAGCCTCTCTCTCTCTTTCTCTATTTGGCATGGACTTGGATGTGATCTAAGGTGAGGCTCCCTCTCTTGCACCCCCTGAAATATGAATGAGGTGACTGAGTTACGTAACTGCTGCCAAAGAGGAACGAGGGCGCTTGGAGGAGAGGGGGAGGGCATTACAGCAGGAGGGGAGAAATGAGAGAGCAAGAGAGCAGAGGAGACTCACATCGTACGCCCCGGCCTTGATCTGCTGGTACAGCTTGTGCTGGTCCTCGTCCCAGAAAGGAGGGTAACCCACCAGCAGGATGTAGAGGATCACCCCTGAGACACACGGACACACACAGAAAATGGTAAATTTGTTAGAAAATGTCCTATCTAGGAAATGCCATGTGTGTGTTTAGTGTGTGAATGATTGCGTCTCTCTGCACAACTCACCGCAGGCCCAGATGTCCACAGGTTTGCCATATGCCTCCTTCCTCAATACCTCAGGGGACAGGTACCCCGGTGTGCCAGCGAAACCTGCATTAAACACACACACACACACACACACACACACACACACACACACACACACACGCAGGTTTGATTGACATGCTCAAGGCAACAGATTTTGTATCTGCTACCCTTGGATCGTCTAGTATGGAAAGCAAGATAATCTTCTGTAAACTAAGACCTGGTGTCAGTACAATACAAGTACTGTCACCAGCAATGGTACATAATCTGGGTTATACATCTTTACAGTTCCTCTTCCAGGACCACAATCCTTGCGTCTTTATTCCTTTACCAAACATGTATCATACTATTGCAATCCTGACAGTAACTTATTCTATCACTGTAGTTATTCTGAGCCCCTTAATAGCTTTCGGTAAATCCACCTAAAATGATGATGCAATCGACTCCTGTGTCTACTGTACCTACCGAACCAGGCCTGCTGATCCCCCTGCACCTCAATGGCCAGGCCGAAGTCAGCCAGCTTCACTGCGGCATTCTTACATTTGCTTGCTAGGAGCAGGTTCTCTGGCTAAAGTGGGTGAAGGGGAGAGAAATGAGGTTACCAAACATTTTGAACTGAAGGATGGGGGGGGTGTACAAAAGACGTGCAATGTCACAGTGTGGGGGGGGAAGAGCCGTAGGTAGATATCCTCAAAGTTTTCATGCACAGCGTTTGTATGAACATTGTCATCGACACTGCATTCAGCACACACACGACATAGATACACACAGACATAGATGTCATTTGCATAACTTGAGTGGACACAAAAAAGCTACACAATAGAAGTCCAATAACTTCGTGGGCTAACTTTGATTGTACTGTCAAGCTTTATGTGTCCACACAACCTCGTGAGTCTGCGGTGCTTTTTTGTCCTTGCCTCATGTGGTGTGCTTTTGGTCTATAGGCTCCATCTCTGTGTCCCAGATAATGCAGTCAGCCTCATTATTCTCTGTCAGAGGAGGGCTCTAATAATGGGCTGCTATCCCCACTGGCCCTTGCTCTCTCATTTCGTCTCTCCACAGCTCTCTCTTAAGTCTCATGTAATCGTTGCCTCTGTAAAAGCAACTGGTAATGTCCAATAACAAACAAAGCTCTGTTTAGAAATATCAATACGATTTTAGCGTGGATTTCACTGGATAAAACGACAATCACCACCGGCGGTTGGTCGCATCAGCTGTCACTACTACGACATAAATTATGTTTTCCAACTTGATGGCAGACCAAAATAAAACTTTGTTGTTTGTCTGTAGTCAGCCAGAGATTCTTTATGAGGTAAGAGAAGCTTCCCTCTGAATCACCATTGTACAACTGGCCGTGTTTTTGTCGTCCCAACAACTCCAACGGAGTGATACGTCTTCCATCTAGCAAATCATGTGATGTCAATTTCACATTATCTGGTTGAACTTTCATCTATATCATTTCAATGATATAATCATATCCACTTTAAAAGTTTTGAACCAGAACCTTCTAGTAATGAAGCAACTGTATGTGTTGCTTGTAAGAGGGAGCAAAGCTCCAAAGCCTCCATTCTCTTCCTTGTATAGTTGTTTCCGGAAATGCACCTCAGTGAACAGCATCAAGTGCAAACTTACAGCGTGGAGAGAATGAGGACGTTATATTTAGGCTGCCTTTCTCTCACTGCCTCCCAGCAGCCGGTGTCGTTCCTCCCTCCACTCTCACCCCTCAGCCAATTCATTTAGAAGCACAGGAATACTGTTTACTTAAAGTGCAAGATACTTCAAAGTGTGCTTTTATAGCCTTTGAGTCCATAAAGTAAAAGAGAAGGAAATGAGAAAGGAGGAGAGAGACGGTGGGTGAGCAAACCAGTAATCCTAAGGCGCTGTGCCTACCTCGTGTCATCATATTCTCCCAGCTCTACCGCTTGGTTACGCTTTACTCTTTTGTAAACGAAGAAGTTAGAACTTGCCAACACTGCAGCAGTGAGATAATCCCTGAAAACGGATGTGGGTGGAAATTCTGATAAAGCATGCACTTCCATCAAAAAAGGTGCATAAATGCAACGAAAAACATCTAGGCCACATGTTCGGACAAAACAGCAGCAACCGCCGTCACTTTTTATTACAAACGCTGCGTCTCTGTAGCACACACGTACACTTAGACATGCACACACAGCTGAGCACACCGATGACTAGCAACTGTTTCTGTTGAAAGGGAGAGGGAAGGTGTAAAAGCGACGGAGAAAGCTATATTTGAGAGCAGTTCACGAGTGGTGGTTCCAAATGAATGTATTCCACCTGACCTTACATTGAAGAAATGACTGAGTTTGTGTGTCTGGATTATAGCCAGGGATAGGTATTATTTTAAACGTTTTGATACTATTGACACCTGAAAGAAAGAAATACCAAAAACAACTAAAACAGTGCCTGAACATATGATTTAAATAATAAACCATCTGATCAAAAGACATATATATACAGACATATTTCAGTTTGATTCCCAGCCCTAATTAACATATTGTGACTATTAATGAAATCAGACTAAAAATACTGCCCTTCATGTTGACATATAATCTGAAAGGCAGTACACTTTTAATTTCTCAGATGACAAAAAAACAATATACTATTTGCAGCACACTGTGAACAAAATAGTGCTGGCACAAATATACATTTGTTTACTCTGTTGTCATCTCATTTGCCATAGCCTAAATTCTAATTTGAGGGATCTTGTCACCCAGGCTGTCCTCAGTCATCACACCATGACCTATTGCATGAAATGCTCTCCGATGCTTCGGTGTGAAACCAGATAGGCGTGTCGGCTAAATAAAGAAATAGCCACAACGGTTCTGATAAACACAACACGCCTTTGCTGGAATGCTGGGACTGACATTTGCATAGAAGAGCTCCACTTGACGAAGTGCATCGTGCAACACAAGATGCGACATACAAGCATGCGCACACTGAAACACGACCGGGTACAAGACTCGACAGCGAGAGGACTGCAAATGGTTTGATTTCTATCCGGTTTGAAGCAGCTCCACAGTTGTAACAGACTTGTTATCAGTTCATAATTAGCAACTGGCTCGCCCTAAAAAAGACCAGGTAGTCAGCCAATACAAACAAATGTCCCTACATCACAAGTCAATCGATAGCAGTTTACAGAAAATTAGGTGTCGCATTTGAAGTACTGAGGGTCATTAACTGATCCAAAAAGGCAATGAAAACCTCACAGGGTGCCTCATAATCAATAGTCAATACATTTCTCTGACTAGTAAATGATTAGGTATCCTCTTGGGCCGTCCGGGACGGATCCATTGACAAAAACAAAGGACCGGCTGTGCAGTTCCAAAAAGGTTACAGAGCAGCAGCATTTGTCAGCCAGCATGACTGGTGCTGCATGCATGCCCGAAATCTCCACAGAGTGTGGGGGGGAGTGGTGTTTACACAACAGGAAAAGAAGGTGACTGCACAGAGCTGGAAAAAGGTCGGGAGGTGGTATTTCACAGTCTCATGGAGATCGCAGCGAAGCTGTAGGGACCGTTCTAGCTATGAGAGCCTAGAGGAGCTTTGGCCCGACTCAATTACTTTCTTACTGCACAACCAACTATTGTGTGAAGGCCTACATTGTATTGTACAGCGTTACTAAGAAAGCAATTGTATTCATATCTGACTTTATGGGGAATAATGTGATTCAACCCTCTCTAAGTCCTGAGGCAGTGCAAGTGACATGATGTCCACAAACATTACAGTCAGTTTCTCTTTTACACATCAGACTTACACAGATAACACAACCACAACCCCCCCACCTCCCTCACACAAATATTTAAGCACACTCAAGGGACAGAAAGATGATCCCCATCACTCACCTTCAGGTCCCGGTGCACCACGCCCATTTGATGGCAGTGAAGCACCGCCTCCACGATCTGCTGGATGCAATGACTGCATGCAAACACCAAGGGGGGAAGGGGAGGGGAGGGGGGGGGACGCATGTTAGTCTGAGCAGCGCTACAATCCCGTGCAAAGGCCAGGGGTGTGGGGGGAGGTTGAGGTGTGACGGAGGAATGGTAAGGGATTGAGGGGTACGAGAAGGGTTGAGAGGGCTCCTCTGTTGCCAGCTGTCACACTTTCGCCTTTAATTGGCTTCGGGTAACCCACAGTTGAGAGCACACCCAGGATTATGCAAATGAAGCCAATCAGGGTTGATTTACATAGTTTACAAGTAGTTATCTATAATAAAAGACATGGATTACCAATATTTGATATGAAGTGTATCAGCTGTTTGGTTGCTTGCTCTTCTGTGTCGAGCTTTCCACATGGAAGGTGGCCTGAGTTTAAAATGGCTACTGAGGGAATAAAGTGGATCAAACACCTTATACTGCAGCAGATGTCATCAATGACCATCATTGAGGTTGTTGGGGGTTCGACCCAGTTGTCTTAAAAGGCTGTGGGTGCTCTGCAACAGAAGATTCCTTTGACTGAATTTATTCTGCAAAAAACCCATATGGATCTATGATCTTCTTAGATGCTCTATTCTTCGTAGATGAGTACATCCATGGACACAGTTGACTGCGGCTGGATTCTAGATATTCCCACCTCTGTGTTTAAAACAGCAGGCCTCGGGAGATGAAAGAGGGTGTGAGAATGTGGCTGGCCATTGGGGGGGGGGGGCACAGATGGCGTTGATGAAGGAGATGAGGGAAGGAGTGAGTCATTGTGCAATTAATAACATTTAAAAGAAGTGTTTGGGATCAATGTCATGTCTACTGTCAGCCTAGCAGGCCTCTGCTGACAAGAGCTGTCATTCTGATGTCAGTTAGCTACCGGACACTAAAAATAAGAACCCAAAAGTCAAGAACTGTGCGAGGGACACGGAGGGATGCTACATGTGTGCGTATAGGGCCATGTACATTGCCTGGGTCCCACTGTGGCAGCTGTGGACTGATGCAGAGCTGAGTGAAAGCACACACACACCAACACAAGCACCTGTGCTGGCTGGGACGTGGCGCTGTGTGTGGACAAAAGCTTGACTGCTCATGTGTGCTTCCTGTGCACTGACCAGGGATCATCAAAAACCAGAGGGATGTTTGTTTTTTTTAATGGCATAATGACATAATCTCAAGAAATAAAATTCCAGAAATGAGTTTGTACAGTCCCTCAGGAATCAAAAAGAAAAAGGGCTTCTAACTGAACTGACTCTTTGCGACGTTGTTCAATCACAAGAGATAAAATCCACTTTGGAGGGCTGATTTTTTGCCCATTGGAAGCCCAATAGACTAGGATGCCATGTAGCCACACAACATATAGAATTTTGAATTAAGCCAATCAAATACATGCAAAGATGTACATTACTTTGAAAAATGAATGTTTTATTTCCGCTGTTTAACGGTCGATCGTCACACTGAAAGACAAAAATGGACCGACTCCGTGACTTTCTACAGCAGTAAAATCCTTCCTCAAGGTAGAATGAACCGCTGTGCAGTGCTTTGGTGTCTGATAAGCCTTTAATCTCGTGGATAAATTACTCAAACTCGATATCCTGGATCATATTTCATCGCCTCACCTGTGCCACCAACAACTCACTTCCACCAACGCAGCGCAGCCCCTTGCGTGTTTTTGAGCGTAGGCCTGTCTGAGAGCAAACAAACTGCTGAGAGCAGCTTAATGGGAGTTTTTGGATAATGGAAAAAGATGCTCTCGCATCAACTTTCCGCCTACACTTTTGGAAATTATGATTAATGCATATTTTCTCTGGCATTCTGGTGTTTGAATTATTTTAAATACTTATGTGCTCTTGTTTCTTTCTTCTTTCATTTCACATTTTTCTGAACAGGCCTGAATTGTGTTGTCACAGACAGAAACATGGAAAGGAAAACTGCTCGACAGCTCCTCCATGCAGGTCATTTGTAAATAAAACTAAAACTTAGTTTCGGCATTCAGGGGGTTGTGGCGTATAATGGCTTATTTATTATTTAACCTACTATTCATTTGTTTGTTTATCATATTTGATTGTACATTTTCTATTCTTAAATTATGTCTTCTACTAATGCACTGTGTTTATTGTCACGCACCAGTCCCCAAGCCAAATTCCTTGTGTGTGCAAACGTACTTGGCAATCAACCGTTTCTGATTTCTGATTTCTTTTGTGCGGCCCTTAAGTTTGCATTATCGACGTGGTCTTCCTACATTTCACTTGCATCTAACAGAAAGCCTCTTTCATCTGTTATATGTTTTGAGTCTGGCCAGGCATGGCCGTAAAGTTCAGGACTATAAATTTGAATCCCGTGTCTCGTTCCTAAAGGTCTCCCAATAAATAAATACGAGGCAGGTCAGCCCAAATGCTAAGAGCTGTGTGTGTGTGTGTGTGTGTAGGTATGCATGCCATTGTGTGTGTGTGTGTGTGTACGTGTGTGTAAATCAAGCAATAAAACTGTACTTTGACACACATAAGACATATTTGGTACCTTTTTTTTTTTTTTTTTTTTTTTTTTTTTTTTTTAAATTGTATACACATAATTAGACTGCATCAAATGTGGAAAGCCATACTGTAGGAGCTGCAGATATAGTTTGAGCACTAATTATCGCTCATATAATATGCTAATAAATAACTGCTGGCACTAAGTAAAGAATTAAATGAGGGCTGCAGAGATAATCAAAGTGGTTGCTTAATTATGTTCTCTAATTGGTGATCATCAAATGGCAAGCCGAAAAGAGCATTTCTGCTGTTTGATGAACTCACATGTAAGAATTTCAAATGTGTGTAAAGTGATACTTTATACATCTGGCTTACGGGTAAGGAAAAGTTAAAATACAACCCCATCCTGAAACTGTCTTGCCCTTTTGATGACACTGCTGGTTTGAGTCTGACTGACTAAAGTACAATTCAGGACCGAAGATAAAAGCATCTCCACACACAAACCACCAGCTCAGGAGACGCTTGTAAGAATATTCATTTAAAAATCCTTTGTTTTAAACGCAGCACACTTCCTTTGTTGCGTCTTTCAGCTGAAGATCTGTAAACACTATAAAGACGTACTTGATGTTGAATGAGGCTGTCTTGAAACTACACAGATCAATACAACAATAACAAAAAATGACTCAAAGCTCGAGAGAAGGCAGGAGGGAAGGAGAAGAAATCAATGAAGATCAGAATAAATATAACAGTGGCTTCTTTAACACACCTTGTGGGAGAGATTGATGGTTGTATGGGCCTGCGTAAACACTGAATATCTATTCTGTCGAAGGTTGTGTGTGTGTTTGCATACAAGGCTCATTAATTGTTTGATCTGGTTGTCAGTCAGTGCAACAGGAGGTTTTATTTATGTAGTTGTTTGCAAAATGATTTTAAAGAGAACGGTTGGGAGGGCAGATGGAGCAGGGAAGGCGGTTGAGGCAGGCCTGGGTCCTCCAATTAATTATAAAAATACCATAAATTAAAAAAGCAAAAAGGAAACATAAGAGCATACCAAGAGACAAGGCAGACAGGCGGACATTAGACCAGCAACTGACGACACAAACAGACGAGACGGAGGACGGAGGGAGGGAGGAAAGGGACGGAGGAGGGAAAGGAAGCAGGGATGCAGATGCTCCTCTACACATACTAACCTTCAGGTCCCTGTGCACTATGTCATGTTGGTGAATGTGATGGACACTGTCTAGAATCTGATGGATACAGTGACTGTGAAGACAAAACAGAGAGATGAGGGACGGTGGGGGTGGAGGGAGGGATGAAGATAGATGGGCCGTTGGGATGTACGGAGAAGGGTGGAGAAATGGTAGAAGAGAGGGGTGGAGGACAAGAAAGAGGATGCAAGAGTGAACAGAGTGACGGGGCAGGGCCAATGCAAGATGAATGAGACAAAATGTAAGGATGAGAGAGTGGCAGGTTAGATTAGAGGAGAAGTGACATGGATGTCAGAAGAAATGAGGAGGAGGAGGAGGAGGGGGTGAGGGTGATTGGTGCGGATAAAGACGTTGGAATGGGAGGGATGGGTGGGTGGAGGAGACAAAAAACGTTTCGTTTTGCTTTTTTAAACATGATGAGACAAGGGCAGCCACAGCAGAACAACCTGCAGACAGAAATCACAACAAACACCGACACAGAGGAGAGGAGCGAGGAGAGAGGAGAGGAGAGGAGAGGGGAGAGGAGGAGAGGAAAGGAGAGGAGGAAACCCAAATAAAAAAAAATTAAAAAAGGTGACAGATTGTGGGAAGGGAAGGTGGGACGCTTTTGAAGAGCAAAAGAGAGATAATAATACATGAAAGAGATGGAACACGTATGTATAGCATGAGTCTGAATCATAGAAGACTGGTGGGCTGATGCCAGGCTATTTTTCCATCACTAAAGAGTAAAACACATCACTGCGTGCACTGCAAAAGATACACGTACCTACCTCACTCTATTGCGAGTGTGCGCATGTGAGGCTTGGTGCAATGAGAGAGAGTGCAATATGTGACTAATAGCAGGCGCAAAGAGACAGGCGGCCTGCAGGATCCACACCCACACAGTGTCTAGTTAGTGGGTGGACTGAGAGAGAGAATGAGAGAGATATGGGTGCACACTTGCTTAGAAACACACACACACACGCGTTTACTTCCATACACGCAAAGACGCTAAGAAAACCCGACACAAACACACAGTTTATGATGCGACACTCCTCGACACCAAAGGTATATTTGTACTGTAACAGCTGTGAGGACTTTTTATTGTCTGCATTCAATTCCTGATCTTGAACATTAATCCGTGACCAAACGCACATGATGCACCATAGTTCCTCCATAATATTGTTTGTAACAGAAACCGGTAAATGGTCATTTGACAGTGGCATCCGGCAGGACACACAATGTATTAACACTCCTCGGTAGGGTTGGGCGATAATTCAATATCATTTATCATCTTTCAATGGAATCATAGTGTGATGAAATCATATCGCGATACTGTGATAAACAATTTTGTTGTGTAAATTGTTAATAACAAGCACTTAACAACTCAAATTTCTCAGAAAATCTGATTATTTTGCACTAAAGCTCTTAATAAAATGAGAAAATACTCAGTATTTAATTCACACAACAGTTTACAAAACCATGTGACTATTTTAGAGGTATTGTTTCACCAAACTGTAGAGGTGTGAATCTTCACTGGCCTCACAACTCGATTAAGATGTTTACATTACAAGGTTCTAACACGGTTGAACGACCTAACGAGAACTGCAACTATCTGAAGTAATCCGCCCAACGGTGAGGACTAAAGCGTTGTTTGTACTTTGCGCCATAGCAAAGGAACTGTGAAGAATCAAAAAGACAACGAGTAACACCCATAGACTGTAGGTGTGACCGGCAAAAAGCCAAAAACTAACCTCCACAATGCAGAGGAGGGATTGTACTTATCTGTAAACTCATATCTCATATGCATGGTCTACTGTATTGCCTACTGTATTGCCTTTGTACAAGTCAAGTATTAAATGCATTACAAAGAAACAAAGGTTGACTTTCCTGTAAATAATTTGACTTCCTTGTCCTGCTGTTTGAGCCAACTTTTGCTCTTTGATATGAAGTATAAGTGATGGGAGACGTTACTGTGTGCATGCGAGGACACGCGGCTTGACCCGACAGTGACACCATTGTGTATGGCATTTAGAAATAAGAGAGCACCTCCATCCCATTCCTTTGTTTGTCTAAAAGCATGATGTCATTCCAAAGGACTTGTCTGTTTATGAGCTCCTGGTGGTGCAAAGAGGGAGGAAATAAAAAAGAGAAAGTGCAGCGCTCGTCACACTTGCCAAAGAATGTGACTTGCTCAGCACTTTGAGCTACAATGTCCCACTGTTCTCTGCAGCAAAGTAAAGTGATACTGGGAGGAAAATCAACATACGGAGCCAGTCTGAGTGTCAAGACAAGGCACCTTCTATCCCCCTCATATGCCCGAGTATACTTTCAATACGAAAATACACAACAACAAGAGCATATCATATAATACTTCACCATGGAAACTAGAGCATAAACTATCCAGGGCAGCAGATAGTAGCTAAAAACTATGAACATTTGAATTACATTCATCCGGCGGACAGAAGCGTAGGACGCTCGTGTTGCTCTGTGTTTGCTGAATGTGCCAATTGTTTGAAAAAAAACAACTTTCAAATCAACGGTGCTGTGTTTCTGGAACTTTGTTTTTGAGTCGGTCTGCTCCTCAGTGAGGAAAAGATTACTTGATTCAACTTCAGGTGTAATTTGGCTCCACTCATAATGGCCCCCACCACCCAACCGAACGCGACTGAAGAGAAACTCTGATGGGGGGGCCAGCAAGGTGTGATGCAGCACAGTTTGGGGTCTGTGTGAGTGTATGTGTCTGACTAATTATCGTAGCTAATTAAAGTCCCAATTCTTGCTGTTCTCCAAGGGAGTGAGGGGGGATTGGGGAGGGGGGGGGGGGGGGGGGGGGGGGGACTGGACGGGATGACTAAAATTCAAAGAAGTGAAGGGAGGGGAAAGGAAAGGGAATGTGTGTGTGTGTGTGTGTCCGCGCATGAGCCAAGGATGAGTACTGCAAAGGTGGGCAGGAAAGACAGCGATCACTAGTGGGTTTAGATTGACAGGTATTAGTACTGCAGCATACGGTACTGTAGGTACATGGTACACACACGCACACGCGCACACAAACACACAGTAAAATACTGTTACTCTCAGTTCTCAAAACTGAAATAAATAAAAATAACATTTCTACAGTCACCAAATGAACCAGTAATTAGCTGGATAAAGTGAATAGTCCATCAAGCATGCACACTAGCTCGCACTAGTTAGCTTGACAATATGACTGGACCAAAGCCAATGCAGAAGCTCTTCGGCATCAGGCATCAAGAGACATTTGCTGGCAGTTTTTAGGGACCAATAAATATGCAGTTTTGACAAAACAATTGTCCCTCTTAGCACACTGGAGATGAACAAAAGCTAAAATCACGTCAAATTAGCCAATGGAAATTGAAATCCTTTACCTTTAGCACAATTTTTACTCAACCAATGACCGTCTTGTAAAAAGCAACAAACAGTAGAAGCCAGACTTTTTTAAATTTGATATGGTTATGATGGTTTGAGCGAGTAACAGACAAAGCTGAAAGTTTGTCGATACAAATCTGTTGCAGCTTTGCAGGTCCTCTGAGATGCAGAACGATTCATTAACTCTTGAAGACTGATGGAAAGGCTTTGAAAGGGACAGTCCACACTGCTGTCAGCAGTTTTATAGGAGCTATGGATGTAATCAAATAATCTCTCTCTCGTTCTCGTCTACTTCTGCTGCTGTCTGCAGTAGAATGTAGGGCTGTCAGTTCATCATCTCTTTGACTGTTTCAGTCATCCATCAGAACAGAAATTTAGTGACTAAAAGTCATACTTCTATATTACACGTCTCTGACTGGCTGCCTCAGATATGCTGTCACCATCAGTTAACACATTAAAGGGGATATTCTAGTAGTAACTATATATCTCATGCAGATCATTTCAAAAACTAGGACACTCATAATGTTATTAAATGGCATGTATTAAAGCTTTGCTTGGGAAGAAGAGACACATAATGAAAATATGATTGCACAGTTTTCTACAAGTGCAAGAATAATTTGAGTATATTTAGCATTTGTCTTTCACACAATTTCTGTCAGTGGTTAAAAAAAAAATCAACAAAAACTCTGGAACGGGAGTAGAAATGTACTGCTTTAATGAGACATGTCCGTGCTGCCTACTGCCGAGAGGTTAAAGCGCTCCTCCGGTTATGGCGGTCCGGTGCGTTCACTCTTCTCAAGCTACAAGTCAAACAGAGTGGAGACGAGAGCGAAGGACAACCTTTTACTGTGCCATGCTGGCATGAGTTTCGACAATATCAGACTATTCAGTTTCATTTTTAATATTGCTGAATGAACACCCACACCACAACTGTCATTTCCAAGTATCTCTCTCACTCTTATCTCAGTCTATTGTCTGCCCGCCCCCTCCACTACTCCATTTCCTCTCCCGCCATTGGTTGATGTGAACTGTGTGTGTCGATGAGTCAGCGCGAGCGGTGGGAGTAAGATATAAAACAGCACGGGGGCGGTGCTGGTGGAGGGTGAATAAGAAAGTAAAGAACAGGGCAGAATGAACATTGAGAAAAGAAAAGATACAGAGAAGGTGAGAATGTCCACATACACAAACACTGCAGGTGGGCAGGGTTCATTTGTTTGGTTCCGCTTACACACATGTTTTTATCTCTCCCACTGTTTGAGTTAGCTCAGGGGAAAAGTGAAGGGGGCTACATTACAGTATGTTGGGTCATTTAAAAGACACATACTGAAGGTTTGACCAACAAGAGTTTGTTGATAGCATTACAAGCATCAGCCACCTACTATGTGACAGACAATGCCGTTTTTTACTGTTAGCAGAGAGTTAATAGTTCAGAGTTCAATAGAGTTCATTGTGTTTGTGGTAGAATTACTGTTTTAGAGACTATTTTGTTGCAACTTGGGGAAAAAAAGATGAGAACACAACATGTACATGTTGGTTAATACCGAAGTTACAAAAATCGGTATTCGGGACAACCCCAAGGGTGACGATCACAAAACGCTGGGCTGCATTTTGAAATTGAACTAGGCACTAACTCTCAGACCTTTAACTCCCATTCAATGTCAATTTTACTTAAGTCGGGCATTGTATAGTTCAAAATAGACAACATCCACCACAATTTTCAGATTTAAAAAGCTAATTTGTTGGCGTTCAAAACTCAAATTGGTCAAACCTTGGATTGGACATGAAGGTTGCCCCTGCATCAGTGCATGTGGTGAAGTACTGTGGCATTGATATAAAGTAAAATGCACAGGACAGAGGAGGAATAGTGAAAAGATGGAAAGAGCAAAGAAAAACCAGTACAAATATGACGAAAAAATAGTTAACAGAAACGGAGAGAATGAGAAAACAGAAAAGGCAATAGAAACAAAAGAGGACAGTAAAAACAAAAACAAAGAAAGAACAAGAAAACATGCAGAGAAGGAATGTGAGGAGCAGAAAACAGGAAAAGGAGTCCAAAGGAAAGAGGAACGGAGAGCAGGAAAGAGAGTGAAGCAGGAAAAATGCTTCAAACTAAGAAACAACAGACAAGAGAAGACAACAGAGGACAGGGGCCGTTTGAGGACAAGGAGAAGCCCTCTCACACACACACACACAACGAGTGAAGGCAGCACTCCTACCTGGCGTCGGCCTCGCTGTAGTACTCTCTGGCTACGATGTCCTCAAACAGTTCACCTCCGGTCACCCTGCCATTGAAACACACACATACACATTAATATTGGGACGCTTGGTTGGAAAGAAGTGGGGGGGGGGGGGGGGGAGGAACCCCCCCCCCCCCCCCCCCCCCACACGCACACACACACACACACTGTTACCATGGAAACTACAGGGAATTGCCAAGAGATGGATGTTGAGGGCGTGGGTGGTGGTGGGGGATATAGTAGAGAGAGTTATGTAATTGTATATATAGGCAAGGGTGGGGAATCAGGGGAGGAAGAAAGGGGGCAGAAGATGAGCATGATGCTGAGAGGAGAGGAGAGGGGAAGACAGGAGAGGAGAGGAGAGGATGAGAGGGGAGAAGAGGGGAGGAGAGGAGGATGACTTACAAGTCAAACAGCAGGTAGTGGAAGCCCTCCTCTGATATACTGTCATGAAGACGAACTGGAAGAGAAAGAGAAACAGATTGATGGATAAATGTATGTTTCTCTGTGTATTAATCATTTTTTTAATCAGGTTTTATTATTGTGGAACCGAAAAACATTTTTATTTTTTTTTTTAAATGCACCCTGCCGACCATTTCTGAAAAAAACCCAGAGTAACATTTTAACTAGGAGATTAAAATAGAAAATTGAGAGGACTGGAGAGTGTGAGATTGTGTGTGTGGTCGAATCTACATGGAGTCATAATAATTGAGTCTTACATCATATATATATATATTCAGGGGTATATATAATAATGTAATAAATGGAGTATACAGGATCAAAACAATTACAAAAAGGTCTTCACTTTCAAGTAAACGTGAAATAAATGGGTTTCATTTTGATTCATTTAGTGAGACAGAAATTGGTGGCAAGAGGAGCGAAGATAAAAAAGTCATGTCTTCACCGATGTTGGAGTGTTTCAACAGGCGACAGATCCGAGCCTCTCTCTCCAGCTTCTGGTGATCTGAAGGGACAGAGAAAGAGAGAGAATAAGAGAGAGAAAGACAGAGAAAGAGGAGTTATTCCTACAATCTGACTGCAAATACACAATATCTCCATTATGACCTGATATTGAAGCAGCCTGCTTGGCATAATCAGGTTAAATGTGAAAACGTCAAGACAGTGTGCTGAGATTTAGTTTGATAAAAACACACTCGGTTGTGTCTGAGGTCTGACACACACACACATTCACAAAAGAACTACAGTTTGTAGATCTACTCAACATGCGTAAATCTGATGAAGCAGAGCTGCAATAATGAGAAGTGTTGATTCTCCAGGTTAATATCGTAGAGGATTCTCCCAAGATGGATGGAGAGATAAACATCAATCAAATTAAGACAGTCCATTCAATCCATCTGTTGAAATGAGGGTTTGACTCTAACGTGGGGGTATGAATTTAAAAAATGGACGTATGAGAAATGTTTGTCAGTTTGAGTGCAGATTGAAAAACAAGCCCCAGTTTTATCAAGACACGACAACTTATACCATTAGACACTGACTAGCGTGGGGAAGAGAAAATATTAAAAATTAGACAGGAAAGAAAGATTCGTGATTTGTTAGATTCATGACAGAAATGTAAACTTGTGCTCGACAAAGTCCTCGTTGGATTGCTTTGAAGGTGCCCCGTCGAGCTTTCTTGGATGTAAACAAATGTGTATTTTTACATTCCGCCAAGTTGACCCACTCTAAAAAAAAGACGGCTCCACGGTGCTACTCGAGGTCAGATCCACAGGGAATACATCAGGTTATGAATGCAACATAATTATAATATCATTCCCTGTGATTCAGAATACGGGTTAAGATTATGCATTTACATGTGTGTGAGCGTGTTCGCTTATATACCAGCTTAATGATGCCCCACACACACACACACACACACACACACACACGGGGGTGGACCACCCTTTATGGGCAGGCATGCAGAGCACAGCAGAGAGCATAGACATGGAAATACATGTGTCACCCACACACATGTACAAGCTGCATGGGCTTAAAAAACACACAAATGCACACATACTGCACACACATGTACAGTACATGCAGGCAAAACACGAGCGCACACATTCACGCTGGCATTGACGAGTGACAGTGAAGTGTAAGCCCAGCGTTTAAAGTCTTAGAAGATGAGAGGAGCGAGGCGGAGAACGGAATGGAGGAGTGTTGAAGGGGGGACAGAGGGGGAGGAAGGAAGGAGGAGAAAAAAAAGAGAACGTCAGGGTAATTATTATGCATGAAGCCCGGGTGCTGTCTTTCTGTTTCAAAGAATAAGACATTGCTGATTGCTGCTGTTGTTTCTACCAACCACCACCGCCGCCGCCGCCTGCTACTTGTTCTGTTTTTCTTCTTCACCATATCGATTCGGTCATTTAGCTGTTACCGCGCCGCAAAAATGAATCGGCCTATAGGTGATTATTTTAAAAAGAAAGACGAGGAGAGCGAGAGAGAGAGAGAGCGAGAGAGAGAGAGAGAGAGAGAGAGAGAGAGAGAGAGAGGAGGAGGCTATGGACACACTGAATGTTTCTCTCATAGTGTTTGTTTCTGTGCTACAAACTGAATTTTCAGATACTGTTAATAAAATGTAAAAAAAATAGATGTATCTCTTTGCAGTATATCAGTATGTTCAGAAATACAGTGAAAAAGGTCAATCATTGGGGAAGAGGTGTCATGAATTAGCACACACATATACATACATACACACATATATATACATATATACACACATATATATATATACACACACATATATATATATACACACATATATATATATACACACACATATATATATATACACACATACACACATATATATATATATATATATATA